AAAGTGGCTTACTGCAAGCCACATGTATTGTCCCAGTGCTTCTGTGGGTGAGGGCCCTGAGCACAACTGAGCTGCGTCTTCTGCTTCAGAGTCTCCAGGCTTCCATGGTGTTGCCTGAGGTCAGGGTCTCACCTGAAAACTTGACTAAGGCAGGATGTCAAGCTCACATGGTGGTAGGATTCAGGTCCTCATGGACTGCTGGAATGAGGGCCCCAGCTACAAGACAGCTGTTGATCTGAGGCCCCACGTGCCTCATGAGGCCCATGCTGGCCTCTCCAGGTTTAAAGTGGTACAGCATTGCAGTGTTCAGGCCATAAGAGTTGCTGCACAAATACCAGCAATTCTGTGAGGCTGGAGCCCTTCCAGGGAACTCTGCTACCTAACAGGTCTTTCAAAGCCCCTGTGTGACCGGTGTGCCATCATGACCACGTGTGCCATCAAAGCATGCATCCAAGAAGATCGAAGCCATAATCTTTGTAACAGAATTACAGAAGTGACGGACACCCTTCAATGTTGCTCTGTTTTATTGTTCTGAACCCAGGGAAATGATAATCCAAGGATACCAAAAGCACTGATCATTGGGGCCATCATGGAAATGTCATCAATGACAAATGTCACCAAAAGCACAAACTTATACCAGTTTTATCACAACCGCATTATATCAAATGCTTTAGTATTTAAAAATTACCAGTGTGATAGGTATAAACAAGTATCTCTCATTTTAATGCCCTCTCCTCCAGCTTGGTATCTCCTTACACAGGGACCTGGGTGGGTATTCTGCTCTTGGTTGGTGCCAAGGACCGGTCACACAGGGGCTTTGAAAGACCTGTGTTAGGCAGCAGAGTTCCCTGGAAGGGCTCCAGCCTCACGGAATTGCTGGTATTTGTGCAGCAACTCTTACGGCCTGAACACTGCAATGCTGTACCACTTTAAAGCACATCTAGGAAGCCAATCTTTCAAAACTAAGTATGCCCTCACTGGGCTTCACATTTTGCAAATCTCATTTCACTTTTATTGTCAAAACAATGCTGTAAGATACATATTATACTCCCCCCACTTCAAAGATAGAAATCCAGGATAATCCAGGATACAGAGGTTGAAATTACCACTTCCAGGTCACTGCAAAAATGGCAGGACCAGGATTTTAACTCTCAGCCACCTGGTCTGTGCTCTCTCAGCCTCCTAAACACTCCCTTGCCCTCACCTGGGCCCTCCAGGGCTCTGTAACTGTGTCCCTCAGCCAATTTCCAACCTCAGCACTATGATAAGATCGGCATCCCTTTCCTCTTCAGTTAGCTAAAGTTCCAGAAGGCTTTGCTCAGCGGCCAGTTATTTCCAAAGGTGAGACTGGAGATTCATACCTAACCAGGATGGGGAGGAAGGCTACAAAGCCCTCTGGGCAAGTTTGCACTTCACTCCAACCCTCAGGATAAATGGGTCAGTACTGGTTCACGGGTGTCTCAATGGTGTAATTTTACAGGGGTTACACCGGAGAGGATGAACCATGATGTAAAAAGCACATTAAAAAAAAAATTAAAACAAACAAATAAATGGGTCAGCATAGATGTAGCATTTTAAGAATGGGATCTGGAGCTAGGTTGCTGACTTCAAATCCTGGTTCTGCCAGTTAGGAAACCATGATTTGAGGCTAATTTCTTCAAATTTTTCTGCTGTTTTCTTGTCCATAAAATAATAGTAACAACATTAACAACTACAAGTCCCAATTTGGGGAGAAATGAAAAACCTGCTTCTATGAAACTAGCACAGGGTCTGGTGTACAGTAAGGACTCTAGAAAACAGTACAATAGGAATGTGATGGGCAGGAGCTTGTTGGGAAGGACCCTCATGTCGCCTGAGGTCCTGGCTTGGGACATAGCCACATATGGGGACTGGGGTTCTATGTGTGTGTGTGTGTGCGTGCAGCTCCAAGCAGCGGGGCCTGCATAATAGACACGGGGGGCAGAGGCAGTAGGCAGAGGCAGCTGGGGTCAGGGGTGGGCAGGGTCAGTGCTGGCACCCTTGCGCCAGGACCCCTCATGTGTTCTGGCTGTGTCTGCAAGTGCGTACACTTGTAGCTTTCTGTAGTCAGCCCAGTTCTGGGTCTATGCGTGATTGTTCTGGGATTTTGAACACCTTTGTACATTCCCACTCAAGAGAACCAGAAACATTTGGGAGCACAGCTAGCTAGAGTAGTGTTCTCTAGGGACTCAAGGTAGGATGCTGCTGGTTGAGGCAGATAGCAGGTGTCTGAGAAGGAAAGATACAGGCAACGGTTAGAGGGTGATTTCCTCTCACCTCATTTATCTGAGAAGCTCCAGAGCAACTTTTTATTAACCTTACTGGGATCAAGTCTCAAGTCTGTGTGCAGGGGATGCATTAGATCACAAAATTTGAGGGTGTGCCTACCTTAAAACCTCTTGGGTGCCAGGTGCTCTGAGTAGTAATCTTTATCCTATAGGAAGTGACCAGGACTATCCTGATTCTCCCACTTAAATAAGCACTCAGAAAGATAGGGACCAAGTCCTGTCCTTGGAAAAATCCCAAATTGGGAAGACAGAACAGGATCGCATGTAATTCATAAGGCCTCCCCAAACAACCTTACTGCATTTGCAGAAACTTTAGGGGGCCAGGCCTGTGTCTGTCATAGCTTAAGAACCTGTACATTTATTTTCAAATGTTATGGAGTTTTGTTCCAGACCTGTACACGTCGCTAACTCCAGCCTTGCATACTGAACATTTCGGCAGATGAGATGTTGTGGATCTGCTAGGCTTAAGCAGCCTGTTCGGCCACCATTATTGTTGCCTGCAGCCTGCCTTCCTATACATCAGTCAGAATGCCCAATCAGTCATGGCAAAATCTTACGAGGTGCCTTTCAAATCAACAAAGAGGAGAAAGCTTGGTGGCTCTATGAGGCTATGCATCACGGGGTATGACTGGGAACGCCCCGGGGCTGAGGACCAATGGATAAAATGTACTTATGAGATACACATCATGAGGTATGACCAGGAAGGCCTGGAGTGACAAGGGACCCCAGAAGCTGATCAGGGGAATGTCTTGTTGATAAGATTAGATCATGGCCGGAGGTCTGAGGTATGGTTTCCGCTACAACACTTGGTTGTCAAGCAGGTAAGAATTATCTAATCAGCAGACTCATGTTCCTCTAAGCCCTAGATGACTTGAGCACATTCTTTAGTTTCACCCATCTTTTTCTCCTTGTCCTCCTACCCCAGGTACTGAGGTGTATGATTTTTCTATCAATAAAAAGACCAGGATGTTGCTTGTTCAGCAGCTTCCTGAATGTGCAGCCTGCCCCACAACTCCCATTGATCAATGTGATGTTGTCAACACCACAAGATGTTAAGCTGCTAACTCCATGGTAGCTTAATTATATAATTACAATGAGCACTAAGGGCCATGGAGAGGCATAGTGCCGGTCAGAATTTTCCTGCAGGAGGCTCACTAAGTGACAGAGCAAATGGCCAAGGAGGAAAGCCTCCCCGCTGGAGGGAGGTGGTATTTAAGGAACCCAAATGCTGGTGAGACTAGAAGAGAAGAGGATGACACATGGTTAGAAAGGCGCAGGTCAGGGCCCTCCCTGGTGGCGCAGCGGGTTAAAGCACAGCACAAAGAAGCTAAAGCCACTTCAACATGAGTTTGATCCCCACCCCAGAGGTGACCCACACGGCGCGGCAGACCTCTCCTGATCTGCCCGCTGCTCCCCTCAGCAGTGTACCTCGCCGATCTGCCTGTTCTACTCCCCACTCTGTCCCAGGTTCCCCTCTCAGTGGGGCTCCCTTACTTAATCATTTGGGCAGACTGGCTGCAAAGCCTGAAGCCATCTTGGCTCCTGTGGTATTGGGAGCAGTTGAGGTAGGGAAGCACAGCACATTCACATCCTAAATTATGGGTGACATTCCAAGGAGCGCCCCCCACTCAAGTGTTATTTCTGAGTGGAGATTACCCACTCATAACTCATCTTTAAGTCTATGCCTGCTAACCCAGGAACCTGAACTGGGGTGTTTGAGCCTCAGGTACTCAGTTGGGGAGATGACATAAGGATCCACAAGTTGGCACAGAACAGCGCCAGAGCACTGCGCCCCAACCCATGGCCAAGGACCCAGCAGACTGCCATCCCTGCCCTGCTCATTCTCCATTCACAACTCCCTGCTACAACTGTCTACCACTGCAAAGTGAACTTCCTGGTGCAAGGTATGTATGGTCCCCTAGGTATGTATGGTCTAATTCCGTACTCTTAAGAATTCAGGCACCAGGCCTGAAATTTTCAACTCTCCAAAAGGAAAGTAATTTCCAAGAAAAATAGATGAATGGCAAGCAAACCCAGCTCGCTGATCACAGCTATCTTCATTTCTCTGCTGCAGTGTCCTGCCAAAGGTTCAAAAGTGGGGTACGGTCTGTCCACCATGAGCCCTTAGGGGGAACAAACAGAGCATGGATAGAGCCTTCCTTTGGGTCCTGAGTGTGGCACTAGGCATGGCCTACTCCCTGCTCCACGCCCTGTTCTCATTGCTCCTGTAAGTCAAGTTTGCCTCCATCGCTACCTCCCACACTTCCTCTCCTCTCCAATGCTGTGTCCTGGAGCCTGACCAGTGGGCTCCTCCCTGCAGGGCCTTCGTTTCTCAGTAGCCTGTTTCTTTCTCTCTCTTGGTGACAGCTCCTGCCAGGCAGTGTCCCACAGCCTTGCCAGGATCCAGGAAAACCTCTCCTTTCACCCCCGCCCCTTCTCTGCTCCCCAGCCCTCTCTTAGCATGCTATCTGCACCAGGCACACCACTCGTTAAGTCCCACCCCAAGTTAGCATTTCCTTGCCTTAAAGGCCCATCTAATTTCTCATCTTGTTTCTCATCTGAACAAGAGCAGAAGGAAATTGGGATTCTCATGGGTGGGTCTTCACCTAATGGCATTTACACCCTGCAAACCCCTCTGGTGTAGAGATGAAGCATGACTCACACAGTCCACTGGAATTTAAAGGAGGGATGTCCTGTTTATTTATGGCAGGTCTTTCCTGCTGGGCCCACTTGTTCATGATCTCACCTTACAATTCTGTGCGATAGTTTACATCATCCTCATTTTACAATTGGGGAGAACAAGGCTCAGATACATAAAGGGACTGTGCCAAAGTCCCTGAGGTCGTAAGTGGTGGGGTGGGGTAAAATCTAGACTGGTTAACTCTGAAGTCTGCTTTCCCTGACACTGGGCTGTGGGCACAGAGGCACCGAGAGTCCCCCAATGGCAAGACGGTCCTGCACCAGCTGGAACTGTCTTTGAGATGAGCCCTCAAGAGTGGCTAGGTTTGAGTGTTGCCTTCCACATCTGTAGTACAGAGTCCCGGCGGGTTGTATAGGGCAAATGTTTGATGCGGAACCAGTGTCTGGGAATGATGTTGCCACTGGGTGTATACAGCTTCTCCCCTTGCTTGCCTAAAAGACTGCGCAAGGCAAGGTTCCCAGAGAGAACCTTCTCATAGAATTCCACTCCACCTCGGGCATGGGCTGCAGACAGGGTGGCTGTGCGGCGGTCTAGCCAGGCTTCCAGAGTAAGAGTAAGGGAGTCTGTGCAGAAGGCATAGGCTACAAAGCCCGCCACGGCTGCCACTAAGTTGAAGGCTGCCCGTAAGCTCATAGGGCCTCCATAGAGCCCCAGGGCATGCTTGGCACCCACAGTAAGTGCCCAAGTTCCTGCCAGGGAAGCTGGGGCTGGCAGGGCCTGCAAGACAGCTGCACTGCTCTCCAGGTAGACCACTTCCCTGGATAAGGCGAACTTTTGGGCATCATGGGACAGAATCAGGGCATCTCTCAGTCTGGTGCCTGCTGGGCTCTGCCAGTTCACTCTGTGCCCATGTACAATCACAGGATGATCAGTGTTGATCACTGGGCCACCCAGGAAGCTGGCAGGGATTCCCATCACTGCCCCAGTAGAAAGTCGTGGGAAGCCGGCACTCACAGGCTGGAAGGTGAAGGTGGTGAAGGCCTTGTAGCAATGGCTCGAGGGAATGCCTATGTCCTGTAGCACCTCTTGCAAAAGTTTCTGCAGCTCTGGGGAGAGTGGGGCAGGCTGGCCCTGTGGCCAGTACTGGTACAGCCATCGCACCACAGGATCTGGGAAGAGGTGGTATGAAATTTGAGCCCCAAACAGGCCGGCACAGGAAGCCACCAAGAGACCTGTCCTGTGTCTCTGCACAAAGACTGTGGCCCGCCACAGGGGACCAGCCATGGGTGCTGCCACTGCTGTAAACCTGGACCAAGAGAAAGAGAAGTCAGCAATTAGTTCCCTGGGCTGGCCTGAAGACTGAAAACCTCACATAGCTCTTCTTCTCTACACTCCAATCTTTTTTAACTGAAGCAATAAAGCACAGCAGTTAAGTCTGTGAGCTCCAGACCCTGAGTTCAAATCTTGCTGCACCTCTGTCATCTCCATCTGCTAAATGGACACGAGTAAGGTGGTTCTGATGGGTACACAAATGAACACATATAAAAATTCATGCTGTCAGACGCCCTCTGTGATAATGGCTGTGATCAATATGTCTATTCCCATAACTCACAGAACATCAAATACCCAACCACCTTACTCAATTCATCCCACAGTGCAGTCTTAGGATCACTAATTTGATGATGAAACGTGTTCAGCTTATGGAGTACTTCCTATACACTAGACATAGTTTTCAGAGCTTAACATATATTACCTAACAATTGAGTCCTCACAAGTCCATGACCTAATTATTGCTGTTGCCCATATTTAAAGGGGTGAAAATGGAGGCACAGACGAAATTAGTAAAAAAGTAAAGTGGCAGTGCTACAGCTGAACTGTGTTCCTCACCAAATTCATGCTGAAGTCCTAACCCCTAGTACCTTGGAGTTTGACAGCATTTAAGAAAAGTCTTTAAAGAAGTAATTAAGTCAAAAGGAGGTCACTGAGGTGAGTCCAACTGCAAATGACCAGTACCCTTATGAGAGCAGATTAAGACATACACGGGGGCCATAAGAAGACATCAGTGAGAAGGTCATCTTCTGAGAGAAGTCTCAGAAGAAACCATCCTGCAGACACCTTGTCTTGGGACTTTTAGCCTCTAGAATTGTGAGCAAATAAAGTATCATTTATTGCAGACAAGAAGGGCCATGCAGGGCCCAACCAGGCTTCTAGGGTAGGAGTAAGGGAGTCTGTGCAGAAGGCATAGGCCACAAAGCTCACGACTGTGCTTCTAAGCTGAATGCAGCCCCTGAATTCAAAGCTCTTGGTAGCTCTAGCTGAAGAATACAAGGCACAGTATTTGAACATAGGCTGTCAGGTATCCACAGCAAACTTTCCATTTCAGAAAATTTTTAACGCTAAAGTACAAATGTATATAGAAAGAAGTGCACATCAACTGTCAATCATTACCAACGCAAGCTACTCATGTTTCAGCTCATTACAACTGTGTATTCGGAAACACACCCCAAACATTCTATTATTTCATATTACATTTCATATTATGCCAAATATTTCATAAAGTTTTCAGTAAAAATTCACAAACATTTAACTACGGTTGACATTTATTGTCTTCCTGGGAAAGTGTGTAATTAACAAGCACGCGGGATACTACTTGGCCTATTTTAACCAAAGACTCCTAAGGAGTCACATCACTTGGACCTTTTCTCCGAAGAGGTAACAGGCTAGGAGGGCCAGGTTGTTAGCCAAGGTCCCAATGCTCCCCAGGACCAAGGCTGCGCTCCAGGTCGGCCGCGGAGGCTGCCAGAACTGGCTGCGGAACTCCAGCGGGCGGTCCCCGCTCAGCTTCCATCCCAGGATTAGTAGCAACGCCCGCCGACTCCAACCCCGGATAGGAGATACCCCGGGAAGGGAGGCAGGCATCCAGAACCATGCGTCTCCTAGCCCCGCACAGGTCGCTCACCTCTTCCGCCGCCCGCAGCCAGGGATGCCGGGACAAGCGCGCGGGGCGGGACCCTGCGCAAAGCACGCCGGCCCGGATCAGGGGGCGGGGACTACACCAGGAGCCCGACTCGGAATGCGGCCGGGCTTAAGGGGCGGGGCCGGCGGCGGCCTGGACCAGAGTTACTAGCGCCTGCCCTAGTGGGCATCTTGAGCTGGTGTCTGACCCACTAGGTCTCAGGTGGTGGTATGGTCAACGCGGGTTAGCCCGCGTTGGACTCTGCTCTTGAAAGATTGCCTTTGTAGCCCTCGGGAAAACGACGAACCTGTGTGGGTGAGGAGGCAGCCTCATGCCCTCTTGATGCTTGGCTCTTTGCCCTTTCCAGTTTGGAAGCGCTCTTTACTGCAGGTGTCTCTGAATTTTCTTCCCCCCCACCCCCCATTCTTACATTCTACAGACAACTGAGCAGCATCACACCTGTCATCTCAGTTTCCCAGCAGCTCTATGAGTAGGTCGGGGATCAGCTTGCCTGTGCCCTAAGCCGGCTTGCCACCTGCTTTGTAAATAAAGTTTTATTGAAACACAGGAGTCCTTCCTTTACCTATTATCTGTAACTGTTTTCCTCTAGAAGGGCAGAGTGGAGAAGCAAGGACACTGTTTTCCTCTAGAAGGGCAAAGTGGAGAAGCTCAAGACAAATCAAAATATTTACTAATTCATTTACAGAAAGAAATCTGCAGACACTTGAAGTAGCTTATTCTTATATAGATTATCCTTTTTTTCTAATGAAGAAACAGGCATTTAGCTTGAACAGGGCGCCCACTTCATATGTACCTAGTATATGCCAGAAGGAGATAGTATGCTGCCTACAATTCCCATGGTGGCTCTTGCCTCCATACAAATTCAACTTAGTGAGTCTGTTACTGATTTTGAAGGGTCTTTGGCTTCCACCAATTAATCCTGTATAAATTTTGAAAAAACCAATGTAGTGGCAACCAGGTACAGAACTGGCAGGGGTTGCCAGGAGGCTGGTAGACCTCCCTGTCCCTGGCAGAATCTGTATGCTTTTCTCTCAGGGCTCTCTCTGGCCATGACTAGTGGTCCTGCCTCTCTGTGGTCACTCCTCCTCTGGTAGGTATACTCCACTGTTTCCTCTGCAGCTGTCCTTGTTTGAGTGATGCTGTTCTTACAGCCTCAGACTCTAGGCTCAAGTGTACCCCCTTACACGTGTCCACACCATACCCCAGGTGTCCACCATCACGTATGCGTATCCGGAGCCCACGCTCCCAAGCACCTCCTGCATTCAAGGCCACAGGTGATAGTCGCAGAGGCCAGCTGTGTAATAACCTGACCATCACTTACCCTACAGGCAATAATGGCTTCAAACAAAGAATTTTTATTGTGGACCACAATGTAGAGGGGGAATAGCAACTGCCCTGTGCCCTGCAGAATAGCTAAGAGTGGGAGGGATCCTGGTTTTAGGTGTTTGAAAACCTGGGTGAGTAGAGAGGAAGCAGGGTATTGGCTGGTCTTAGTTTTGTAAGCAGGATATTGGTGGATTTGGAGGTTTTCTAACTAGGGTTTTAGGTTAAGTACCCACATGTGCTTTACCTAGTGTTAAGTTTATCCCTCCCTTCTAACTCCCCAAGAAAGAAAGTATATCCCAGTTGATTAAATTTTCAACAGTAAGGAGACAAGTAACAAACAAGGACCAGGTTCTAGGTGCCCTGCGACTGGTTTTGCCACTTCTTCCTTGGGTCTGGTGTCTGTAGTTGGCTTTCTCTCCCACTGGAATCCCAGGTGAACCAGGGGAGGTGGGATTTCCTCCTAAGCAGAAAGTCAAGGATGTAAGAAAATGTGAGGAAGCAAGGAGACCAGAAGCTGTGTCATATTACCTGCCTCTTAGGGTTATTATGGGAATGCAAAGCTTTCTTGTATGTACAGTGTCCAGCATGGCTCTTACTATTCAGATCTGTTCTGGTTCTGAGACTCCAACTTTGGCTGCTCAGTTGCTTGTGTGTAAATGGTGCGATAACATCCTTGAATATGTAACGGCAGCCAGGTTCAGAATGAGAGATATACTCCAGGGCAAATGATGTGGCAAATCAATGCATAAAGAACATGGAGGGAAAGGAGACTTGTAAGAGAATTGAAAGACATAACAGTTAAATGTAACTTGCGGATTTTTGATGGGATCTTGAATCAGCAGTTAGTTTTCTAATATAGAACACCTTTGAGATAACTGAGGAAACGTGAATATGGATTACTCAAGCCATATTAAACATTAATTAGAGGCTATTAATGAATTGCTTAGTCTGTGGAAGGAGGAAGCATGGGCTTAATGTTTGTGTGTGTTGGCTTTGCATCCCGATAGTTTGCTGAATTAATTTATTAGTTCTAACAGGTGTGTGTTCATGTGGAATCTTTAGTATTATCTACATATACGATTATTATATAAGATTGTACGTGCAAACAGAGATGATTTTACTTCTGCCTTTCCAATTTGGATACTTTTTATTTCTTTATCTAACTGCTTTGGCTAGAACTTCTAACACTATGTTGAACAGAACTAGTGAAGTAGGCAGCTGTGTTTTGTTTCTAATTTTTTTCTTAAACCAGGTTTGTACTTTTTTAAAGATTTATTTATTTATGCATACAGAACTGGGGCACAGACCAGAGGTGCAGGGGTGGTGAGAAGATTCACCAGAGACAGAGTGGGGAGCAGAACAGGCCGACTGACAAAGTACACTGCTGAGGGGAGCAGCAGGCAGGTGAGGAGAGGTTTGCCATGCCATGTGGGTCACCTCCAGGGCGGGGATCAAACTCATGCTGAAGTGGTTTTAGCTTCTTAGTGCTGTGTTTTAACCCACTGCACCACTGGGGAGGGCCCTGATTTTTTTTTTAATTCTCAAATTTGTTTTCTTTTTTGGACTTTGTTATTTCTCACCTCAGGGTTAGCCCATGTAGCTCGCCCACCATCACAGCACCCCTGATACAGCTCCATTGTCCCTTGTGCTCCAGGGAAGCTCCCCTGTTTTTGACCCCCCCTCCCCACCCCACCAATTCCCTTCCCGGCTGGATGCCTCAGATCCATGGTCAACTTGCAAGTTCTGTGTTTTTCCTGACCCTTTATTTGGTTTTTCTATATTCCACATGTAAATGAAACTATCTGGTATTTGTCTTTCTCCTTCTGACTTATTTCACTTAGCATAATCCCTTTGAGCTCCATCCATACATGAAATTGAAAAATGCATGAGTTTATTTTTTTTTGATCACTGACTAGTATTCCATTGTGTATATAGACCACATCTTCTTGACCCAGTCATTTGTTTTAGGGCATTTAGGTGGACTCCAGAGCTGGGCTATGTAAATAGTGCCGCCATAAACATAGTGCGCTGTCTTTTAAGGGCCACACAGGAACTACACCTGAGAGGAGAAACCAATTTCTATACAAAAATGGACAATGATGAAAGAAAGAAATTAATTTAAAAAAAAGATGGAGCACATATGGGTTTCTCTCTCTCTCCTTCAGGCTGGTTCCCACTGCACACTGATGTCTGCTCAATTGATGCCATTTGTAGGTGGGAAAGATAGTACTTGGCCACATGCCAACTAGTAAATTTTCTCTTTCTTTTCCTTTTCTCATCTGGGCATGTAAATAAACACTTTAAAATCATTCTTTTCTTGTTTCTCGCTGTCGATCTGTTTTGAGTATTGTGCTGTATTCTTTTTTTTTTGTCATTTGATTCTTTTATTACTTTAGCATAACAAAAATAATGGACCAGAGTAACATCCAATCATAACTTTTTTTTTTCTATTTTATAACAGTTTATTTTTACATCATTTTGTACATTTTTTTCCCATCTCAATTGTAATCCCCGCGGGTTTCCCATCACCATGTCACCCGTGTGCCATCACCAAAATCCCGTGCACTTCCCTCCCACCCCCCCGTTTTTGATCCCATTCCCCACTCCACCTCTGCAAAATGTCTCTGGTATATGGTTGTTCATTATTTTTGTTATTTTCTCGCCTGGTCCATTATACTCCTGCTATGAGTGAAACCACCAAGTATTTTTCTTTCTCTTTCTGGCTTATCTCATTAAGCATGATCTTTTCCAGCTCCATCCAAGTTGCTGCAAAAGACATGTGTTTCTCTTTTTTGATTGCTAAGTAATATTCCATTGTATATATGTACCACATCTTTTTTATCCAGTCATCTACTTTTGGGCATTTGGGCTGCTTTCATGTTTTTCCAATTGTAAATAAAGCAGCAATAAAACATGGGGGTGCAGGTATCTTTTTCAATCAGTGTTTTTGTGTCTTTTGGGTAGATACCTAGGAATGGGATTGCTGGATCATAGTGAAGCTCCGTGTTTAGCAGTTTGAGGAACCTCCAAACAGTTTTCCATAGTGGTTGTACTAGTTTGCATTCCCACCATATTGTGCTGTATTCTTAAATGCACAGGTGAGGACTCACAGACTGGGTCATCCTCTTTTCCTCTGGGTCTGCCCTGTATCATAAGGAGCTGTTTGCTCTGATCAGTTCACTGTGAGGAGGAGGGAGAATGGTCCTGCCCTCTGTGCTCCTGGATACAGAACCTTCTGTGAGATGTTCTTCAGGAGAGGTAGGTCTTCTTGCTTTGGTAACAGAAACTCCACTCTGTGATGCCATCTAGTGGGAGAAGGACAATCATTTGTGTCTCACTCAAGGGAAAGACTGCAAGGTCTGGACAGAGACCTGAGACAGACACATTCACATCTTTGAAACCAGTTTTCCTTCCAGTCCTCTGCTTTCTGAGGCCCCAAACTCCCTACCCTTTAAACATTTACATGAACCTGCTTGAAGAGAGGTTCTTAGTGTCCTTTCATGTAATGCTTCACCACCCTCACTGTCAGGAAAGTTCTCTTCCATGACTTGATCTCGACTTGGTTATTGGAGAAGAGCAGATGAATGAATGGATGGTGGGCAGGGGGATTGAGGAAGACAGGGTGGTGGGAAAAGACTCAGTCTTACTCCTTTGACAAATAGATATTGAGATCCTAATAACAGCTGCTATTTCTTGTACCCTTACT